TGTAAATAAATACTGTATATACAAAGTGTTATCGGATAAGATAACATGATTAAAATAAAATAACGTGTAAAGAGTTATTTACTTAAATAATTTTTTAACTAATACCCTTAATTGTTTTACAAAGTTTTGTCACTAGACCTGCAGACCATGGCGACGCAAAATCTTACAAATTGGATATATAAAGACTTTTTAGTGATGATAAAATTCTTAATTAGAATTTGATTACATGGCACGATGACGATCACAACGGGAATTAAGGAGAGCTTTGTTGAGACAATTGAAAGCATCGATGTAGGAGACAAATCCCATGAACCAAAACTCAAACCCATCTTGTGTCACCATATGCACATACCTCTCACTTGGCTTCAACACGTTCGTTGATGAACTAATGCTACTTATCTTCTCCAACTCCATCACCACCTATCAATACAACATTATAATATCACATATAAATGTTATTATTGCTCAATATATATTATAATAGTCCTAATCTTTAGAAACCAAATTATTATTTTCTTATTTTATAAAATGAAAACAAATATTTGACAAAGAACAATTCTTGTTACCAACTTAGATATTTTTTAAGTATGAACAAAACTTCTATAACAAAAAAAGGTTCTGGTCTAACCTTGTAATATGCCGCAACACCGTTTCCACCGGCACGAATGGCATAGTCGCTACAAAAAGCGATTCTTCTGTTGGAAATGTATATCACTCCGGTCACTGGTCCCGAAGTAGTCGATATGTAGCAAACAAACGAATCTAAAAGTTTCTCTGCAGCTAAAACACCAAACTCTCGTTGAAACACTCTCTCTGGTCCTCCTTCAACGATCATCTTAGTGCCTTGAGAAAGCCTAGCCATTGCTGCATCACTTATGCTAGGACTAAACTTCACTGTTCATGTCCGGTTTCATGCATAGACCATATATAGATTATTGTTAAAAAAATCATCAGATCTATGTTTTTGGTATATATATATAAACCCTTACGTACGGTGGTCTTTTAAACCGCCGGCTAATGCTTCCGCTTTGCGAGTAACGTCCTCTACTTTCTTCCCACACCGATTCAACACCTCAAGAACCTTATCCTTCGACCCTATATATGTGTTATACATCAATCAAGATTTGTCATAAGCTTAACTAAGACACGAACAATCATTTTTTAGACTTACTCTTATCAGAAGCTGATGTGGGAGTAGTAATGTGGACGTAAGGATTATTGTAACGACCGCCATGGCTGTTGGTTATGTGCTTAGCCGTCGAGTCTAATTTATTGTTCACATCCTTGTATTGCGGAATCATTATATTAGACCTAATGATGATGATGGTGATGGAGAAGACGATAAATGAGGTTGATATAGAGGGAGGCCCGTGGATTGTACGCGATCGGACCTTTATTCGTATTGCTTTATATATAAGGATTCGGATAACGATGATTGATTCTCTATGGATGGTGTCGAGACATTGTAATTATGCCATTCATGATTATAATATTTCTATTATTGTATATCTTATATTGCTGGAATAATGATGGGAAAATTAGATTGGGTACCACTTTTCAGAGAAAGTTTAGGCCCAGTACCACATTTGGGAAAAGCTTTTAAAATGTACCACATTTCAATGCCACATGCCTAAAGCCGGACGAAATTGCCCTTGATGGAGAGAGAAGTGTGTGTCAGAGAAAGGGACACTTTCCGAAATTTCTGCTGTCCTTTTTCTCTCTCCTGCGCATTGGTAACCGTTTTCGTCCCTCTGGCTGGTAAAACAAAGTTGTCCCCGAGTAAATCCAGATCTTCGTCTTCGGCTTTCTGGCAGAATAAAATAAAGATCAAGTTGTCCCCGAGTTAATCCAGATATCTGGCTGGTAAAACCACATCATCTGGCGATGGATAATTAAGAGATGCTGTCCCCGAGTAAATCCAGATCTCTGCAGGCTGGTAAAACCATATCATCTGAGATTCATGATAATAGAGCAAGCTGATGAAATCGGGGACAAGATCTAGACGCAACAGAGAATTTTCAATCGGGGACAAGATCTGGAGACAAAACGGCGTCTTATTGTAGCTCCTTCCCCTGACACATTTCTGACACAGGCAGAAGGGTAAAATCGTCCAACCTCTACCACACAAACACCAAAAGTGGTATGGATGCTCAATCGATTTGCAATGTGGTATATTTGCTAGGAATTTCTAAAATTGTGGTACATTTGGCAAAATTCCCTGTAATGAATCATGTGACATTTTTTGACATTTTTTACTTCCTACGGAAAGTTCATTTTGAAAAGTAAAAAGTCCGGGCCGGATCCGTTAAAATATATTAGTCCGGGCCCTAATTAAGTGAACATGGAGATTTTTCGGGCTTTCAACTAAAAGTTTTAACCTAAAACAAGATTGGCCCAATTTCAGAAAGTTTTTTGTTTTCTTCAACCTCCTCTCTTCTTTCTCTCGTTTTTGGGTTTGGTTTTGTTTGTGTTGTGAGAAGCCATAAGAAAACAAGCGGCGAAGCTCAGATTCAAATCCCTGAGAGGTATCTATCATACTCGATTTTGGTTCTCATTGAGGAAATTAGCAACTATTGCAACAAGTAATTTGTGTATAACTCATATGTATTGATTATGTTTAATTTGGTGTTTATCTTCAATTTGGTGTTTATGTCTGAAATTATGAACATATTGTTGTCTCTTTTTTGGTGCTTCTTATGACAGTTTCGAAGGGAATTAAAACATCAAAATTCGATGTCTTATAGAGGAAGCAGAGGAAAACCACAAGGTGGTGGTGCCGATTATGGCAAGCCTGAGCCTTTTGTGATTTTCCCTGTAAGTTGTACAAAAAAACTTGTCTTCAATTTTGATCTCTTCAATTGCAGATTCTGTGTTAAGGGTTTTTTTTTTCTTGTTCTGAGCAGGATATTACGTTACCTGATCCGAAATCAATCTCAACAGACTTACAATTAGTTCAAACATACTTTAGCTTCAATAAGTTTTGGAGAAATTCTCCTTATCATTTAGGCGATGGTGTTTCTAAGAAAGGTATCAACTTTTGTCTTTGTTATCTCTGTGTTTAAATAAAGCTTAAAGCTTCTTTTTTTTTTTACAATCATCAGAGAATGAAAGTTTGGACATTGAGAGGTATTCAGACTCGTTGAAGCCCAAGATGAAGTCTAATAAGAATGGAACTTTCTTTGATTTTCTTGTTCTTAGACCTGATAACTTCCCTAAAGAACTTCTTGGTGGTTTGTATTTGTTTCAACACTTTTTTTTTTTTGGGTTTTGATTCATCTTTGATTTGTTGATTATCATTGGATACTATGCGATTTCAGATACTCGAAGAGAACGTCCTGTGAAGAGAGCTAAATGGAGTCAAGAAGCTGGTACAGTGTGTTTATTAGTTTCTTGTTTTTTCAACAAAGTATCAAGAAGCTCAAGTTTTTATGATTTTGTTTCACAGATTTGCAGAAATTGGATGTGTTTGAGAAGCTTGAAGCTAAGTTTAAGGTACTAGAGAAACAGTTCAATGGTTTTTTGGAGTACTTCATGGTAACGTTTTTGGATTATGTTTGCCTAGGCTGAAGGCAATGAAGTGAAAGGAGAAGGAGAAGATGATGAAGAAGTTGAGGAATCCGAAGGAGAAGAATCTAATAATGGAGATTATGATCAGGTTTTGCTTGTTTTCTAGATTATTATCATTGAATAGAAGCCTTGTGTGATTCGTCTTCTTCTTCTTCAAGTAACTTAACAACTTTGTTCTTGAATGTTTTGTAGAACCAAGAATTTGATGATGATGACGACGATTATAATCTGGCGGATGATGGTGAATGTAAGCATTGTCATCTTTATTCTCTGTTTCTTTACTAAGATTGTATCCTTAAAACTATTCTAACTTAACTTTGTTTCTCACGTTTCTTGCCAATAGTTGAGGACGTGTATTATACGTGAATGTAAGCTGCTTTCTTTTCCCAAAAGAATCAAGTTTTGCAGACAAGAGAAGCTCAAGGTGAAAGCTCTTAGGTTTTTGTTTCCGTGGTTCTTGCTTTATACTAAATTAGTTGTGAGGGATGTTGTGCTTCAAATCATTTTCTGATTTTTCTTTCATCAAAATCATATCCTCCGTCGTCGACGACTAACTTCATAAATAAAACAAGAGTTACATAAATACATTTAATAGTTTCATGATATTCTTACATAAGTTTGAGCTTGAGATCTGGCTTTCCTAGCCAAGTGTATCAGCTATTACCTTTGCTTTCTATGTAATACAAGAAAAATATACATAGGTTAAGAGATTGTGATGTTGAATGCTCTCATGGATTGCCTTTGAGCTTACAATTTTGGAGGGTTTGATATAAAGGCTTTGTAATCTCATTGTATGCAACTAGGCTTTCCTTGTTGGATGTGTCTCAATGATCTTGTGTCATCATTGGTATCAGAAGATTATTTCTAAACATTGTGATCTAGTAGAGCTTTAAATATAATGGCTGGGAAGAGTTGGTAAGGGTGTTAATTCCCATATGGCTATATTTGTAGAAATTTGTGCAACATCCCCAAAAAGTGTTTGATCTTTGGTTTACAAATGGATTGATACAAGTTGTTAACTTCTTCATGAGACACATTGGACTTGATAATGTTGCTCAATCTGCTTTGTGTGATGGCTATCAAATATCTTGGTGATACATCCATTCTATATCATTTTAGATTCTGCAACTTTTCTCAGCCCGATTCACTGCTTCAAACTTTTCTCGTGTTTTTTATTTTCTCAGAAGTCAAACAGAATCTTCTTATACATTATTTGGTAGTGAAGTTGCTACTAAACAATCCATTCTATATCATCTTCATCTCTAAAATAACAATGTGTTCCGGTTCCTAATTACAATGATATATATATACATTGGCACTTATTGAAGCCAATTCATTTCCACATCGAAGTAATCTAGAGAAAACTAGAGTCTAATCACAAGTATAAAACAAAAACAATAAAACAATAAACTTGAAGAAGCAATTCAGCAGAGAGATATTCGAATCTATCCATGAAAGGATATTGGAATTTGAAGGGCGAAAAAGGAGAGAGCTTTTTCACTCACAAAAACACTGATTCGAGTTTTGATATAAGCCTCTGTCTGAACCAGAAGGTGTTCCTATATTTCACCTTCTCGTTATTCGGAGGCTATACATAACACATATACATACACAGATTCCCAAATTGATGTCTGAAACTTTTAGTGGAGAAGCTTGATAGGTTAAAAAAACCAGAAGCTTCTCCAGAAAACAAAAAGCCACAAATCAAAACAATACAGAAAAGTATTGATGATCAAGATTGATATACGCCTCCTAACTAAGCCAATAAATATGAAATTGCCTAATAACTAGGGTTCATAAAGCTACTCAAGGAGGCAGATTTTATTATCCCAAATATAAAACACAAAGAAAAACGAAAAAACAAACAAAGAGGATCAATGAAGAAGATGAGTTACGAAGAGAAGAGTGGCGCAGCCCTTTTTATTCACTCTGTTTTCTAGGGCTCTTAATGGGTTGGTGTTGTGAATGACTATTTTATCCTCTTTCAATAACCGATTGTTTTATTTGGTCTGGTTTTCTAAAACCACTCAATTTTGGTCTGGTTTTCTAAAACCACTCAATCAACATCTTTTTTTTTTTTTAATATCATTGTGATGTATTTCACATGTATAATTTAAACATTTTGAGTTAAATTTTATTCAATTTTTTTGTGGATATATTCATATAATTTTCAGTCATTTGTTTTTGTTAAATTTGACTTATATATATACATTTTTAAACGTTTGGAAAAAAAAACCTTGGCTTTGAAATGTATTTACAATGGAATGATATTGGTTTAATTCTTAAGATTTAAAAATTTAATAAAAAATATTAAAGAAACGATTTTGGTCATAAAATCTTGATTAAATTTAGAGTTTCCTTACATCCAATCGAATTTTTGTTTACGATTTTAAAGATATGTGGTTTGTATTAGTTATTACAATAATCTCGCTTGATTAATCTAATCCCATCAATCTACTCTAAACTAACTATCTTCACTTACCTATAAAGATATTTTGGTTACGATTTTGCACATATGTAGTAAATATATTTATGTGCATACACTTCGTATGTCATCTTCCTCGTCCTAATATTCACAAAAACGAATCTATAGAAACAAATAAGTACTCATAATAATGTAATCATCGAATATTTCTAAACAAAAACGATTACATAGATTTGATACCAATTTTGTTATGGTATCAAATATATTATGCTTGGTCACCACTATTTTTTAACCTAACTTAGTCTACTATAAATACTCTATGCCATTGCGTCTTCTCATACATACAATAAATCAGATAAGATAATTTCATGAAAAAATAAACACATTTAGTAATTTTATTTTCTTTGTACTTATATTAATTTTATACTAATTTCTCTATCTATTTATAAATTCAACAAATTTATAGTAAATCAAAATCTTCTTATTCAACTGAAAACAATTATCTATGTAATCTATAAAATATTCTTTTAAGATTACAAATTAACCATATTCAAATTTATACATCCATAAATCGTTATTTACTCAAATGTATACATCACTATGTTTTCCTATGTAATTTTTAGAAAATCGAAACCTAAAAAATGCTCATTGTAAACAATATAATATACGGATATAGATGTATTAAGCAAAATATAAAATTTTAATTGTTTATAACTATACATAATAATCAAAATTTTAACATTAAAATTTTAAAATAACATATAGTCCCGCGAGACATATCCTAGTTAGATATATAAAAACACATACTACTATTTTATAAACTAGAATCATTCTACACTTCATATTAGATATACATAAACACACATCAACAGTTAAACAATCTATGATTACATGTTTTACAGTTACAACACAACACATATTCCAAATAAAAACCGAATAATAAAATATAAGTATCTAGAAATACTTATATAATTTACTAATTCTATACATGCTTTGTACATTTGGCCTTGATATTTAGAGAAGAAGGGGTTCGTCGGAAAAGTCCGATCTTCGTAGAGAAAGTTTGTTTCGCCGATAAAACCATCGCATGAGAGGTTTTTTCGTCGAATTAGAAAATAAATAAAAAGTTTAAAACTTTCCGATCACAGAGAACTCAATTTAGTCGCAAAGATAATGGATCACGAGTTTGACCTAGAATCTAAAAACAAAGAAGAATTCAATTGAGAGAGATCTTTATAAGTAATTAGATGATCTTTGTTCGCAACAGCTTTGTTACTCAACTAACACAGACAACGACGAGATTAAACAAGCATGATTAATAAATTCAAGTATGGTTCGTAAAGCCCTACAACTTAACTAACGCATGTTGCGACATGATACTCATCTAGGCTAGTGCAAACGAGTTTACAACACTTATGATGTGTAAAACGTGTAGAATCAACCACAACTTAGCTACTTAAGCAATATGCATTAAGAACAAACCTAAAACGAATAAATAAGATAAACAAATCACAGATCTCACAGAAATATTTTGTCCAAAAAAAGAAAGAAAAAAAGATGAACAAATCATAGATCTAACAGATCTAGATAAACGATCGCATGAATCTCCTTCGAAACCCTAACACACTCCAAATAAAAACCAAATAATAAAATACTTATATAATTTACTTTTTTCTATACATGCTTTGTACATTTGGACAAAGATATTTGGAGAATTTAATTATTCCTAATATTATCTGTTTATAGTTTTATATAAATAAATTGAGATAGTGGATTCCAAAACTCTTATAAATGTTCATGGTGAGTTTTTTTTTTTTTTTTTTTTTTTTTTGTGCTACAGCATTAAGCTACAAAAATTCCTTTTTCAAAATTCTTTCACTTATTCGGTTATATATTATCAGGTGCATTTTTTTAAAGAAAAAAACAAAATCAGCTTTGCTCACTACTTTTTTTAAGATGTTATTTAATTTGAAGTCATATGTGTATATATTGTGGATGCAAAAATCCACCCAAGAATTTATATAAGATTAGTTGTTGACAAAAAAAAAAATTATATAAGATTGAAAAGAGAATTAAGGGCTAGATTCTCTATATTAGCCTAAAATTGTCTATAAGGGCTAGATTATCTATATACGAGACTTGAATCGACCAACTGGACACTGTTCATAGGAAAAATAATACAAAGAGATTTCAGAAGAGCTTGGAATGATAACTGTACTCATGGATCAAGTTACTTACGTATTCGTTTAGAAATCAAACTTATACGTAATTTCATTATTATCATCTAGAATGAGATGTTCGTTGGTGAATGTATAACAAGCTCATATACCATATAGAGTGTAAATGTACAGACTTTAAATGATGTCTTAGAGCATTCCCAATTCATCTCTAAAATAAAGTTTGGAGTAAAACTTTTTCGATACCATCTCCATTTCCAACTCCAAAATAGAGATTTTCATTATTATTTTTTTCAACCTATATTTACAACCTTCAGGAATAAAAGTAACCTTATAGAGTTATAACAACCTATATTTACAACCTTATAGAGTTATAGTTATACACAACAACACATATTTCTAACAATCACTAACAACACATATTCTTAATAAACACTGAAAATATATGAAGATACTTCTAGAATTTACTTTTTCTTTACATGCTTTGGACATTTAGACTTGATATATATAATTTAAATTTTCCTAATATTATTTCCTTATACTTTTATATGAATTTCAAATTTCTCATATTCTGTTTTTGGTGAGTTTGTTTGTTTTGCTAGTTATGGACTATTGAGCTACACAAGACATGAGATCGATCGATCGTAAAAAATAATTTAAAAAAAAAAAAAAAACAACAGAGCGAGAGAGAAAAAAACAGAAAGCTTCGTGGGTTCCTTCGGTCGCCGCTGTCCTTCCGATGGTGGCACCGGTAGTGTAGTATAACTTGTTTTTTTTGCTTCCTTCTATCTTATCTCTCATGTGTTTCCTCCTACTCGAGCAAGGGTTGGATTTTGTCTCAGATCTACAATTCTAGATTTAAATCTATCCTAGATCTATGTCTATTTTGGGGTTTGATGTTCGTTTCCTCCCTCTAGTTGTTGCTGTCTCCGGTGGTTGGTATTCAAGAAATCAACGGCGTGCCGTTTTGGTGAGTCAACAATTCTGGAATTTGCTCGCCGACGAGGAGATGCGGGTTTGAGAAGTCTTTAGTTTGTTTTTGCTCTGTAATTTTATGAGATTATGTCTTTCTGTTCATTCCTCTTTGCTGGCCTTTCCCTAGGACTTAATCGAATCGCATCCGTCACCATTCCTTCCTCCTGAAGGCTTTGGTGAGTCGATTAAGCGGCTATTTAGTCTCCTCCACACGAAGTTAATTTCAGGTTTGGTCGAGACCTGTTTTGTTTGGGCTGCCTCCTAACCGGTTCGACATATGTTTCGATTTCTCCGGCCCCTGGCAGTTTCGTCAGTCTTGTCAATTATCTTTTGAAAGATTCGTCTTGCCATCCCAAGGAAGCACAAGTTTCAAATTTCTGAAGTCTACCTACATCAAGCGAGGACAAGTAGAGTTGAAGCCACGGTTGGTTATTGTCGGTGTTCCAACATGTCTAATCGTTTTCCGCTCTCGGGTTTGGACTAGTTTTTGAGTTTTGAATAGTAGTGTTTGCATATCTCATTTAAGAGCTTTTGTTTGTATAAGAAGTTGTTTCCCGTGTAGTCGGGCTTTGTCTCTCGAGATTCCGAGCTTAGTTTAGTCGGAATCTGCGGGCTTTGTCTCTCGAAATTTCAAGCTTAGTTTAGTTGGAGTTTGCGAGCTTTGTCTCTCGAAATTCCGAGCTTAGTTTAGTCGGAATTTGCGAGCTTTGATTCCGGTGTGTCCGGCTTATGTATCCTTCCCTTGTTTTAATAATACCAGACGACAAAAAAAAAAAAAAAAAGACTATTGAGCTACAAAACCTTTTTTCTTTCACCGTGTGGAATGTGGATCTCACGCGGTTTTAAAGACAGCAAGAATTTCAGATGTCTAAAACTATAAACGACACGAAGTTCTGTTCTCCTTTTCTGAGTTAGAGTTCACACGTGGGAAACAACTCTAAAAGCGAACCATGCGCGCTGTTTTTTTGGTTGCTAGCCGTTATACCAACTGTTCCTTACTCATACACCAAATATTAATTTTTAAAACATTCCTTTTTTTTTGCCAACAATAAATAAAACAAAATTTTCTTCTCTTTTTTTTTTTTCTTTTTCTTTTTCAATTTGCCTTTTTTAAATAATTTAATATATATATAAATTCTTCTCTGTCAAAGATTTTTCTTGATTCTTTCTTTTTTCCTCTATTGAATTTT